CCTTTTCTCGTGAGATAGTCATGGGCCGAGGAGGGTGGAGAGGTCGTGTGGAAGGTCGATAACCTTGTGGAGGAATCGAAGGACGGCTCGGGCTTCGATGTGTGTTTGGTGAAGGGACACGAGGGGGTGGTGGGATGATCAATCGTTCGACTTTTTTTTGTTTTTCTGCGACGCGTTTCGAGAGTTTCGCACTGGGGTGTCAATTCCCCGATGTTTGAAGACGACGTTGGCACCTGGCCACGCCCGCAAAAAGCTGCCAGTCTTGATCTCCGCTGCAAGCTCCCGGCACTTACCGCCTAACGGCTTTGACCACTAGTCGCCTAATTTTCCATCGTTAGCGGGCACGCCCAGTCCGGATCCAGCTAGAGACCTGGAGTTTAAAGCCCCCCAACTTGGCCCGCGGTCTTTTCTGCAAGGCACCAGCATCCTCTCTTGCGTGCCCGGTCGCTTCCAAAAGTGACTTGTGACAATTTCAAACAAGCCACTGCATACGTTTCTACACAGTCAGTTTCATCATAACAGCCTATCGAGTACCGGAGTGCATGACCCTATCTTATTGTCGATTCCTGCATTCCTAGCAACATACGTGACTTGTGTCGCAAATCCACGCAGACAGGGGCGTGGCAAGATGGAGGCCGTCGTCAACGTCTTGCTGAGCACTTTTCCAGGCTTGTCGCTTCCTGCGACGCTCTGTCTCCCCTTACCAGCATCTTCAACTACCGCAGATTTAGTGGCCGCTATAGCAGAGCTTCTCCCACCTAATTTCCCAGAAACCACACACCTGACTCTGACCTCGACCCTAAACAAACCCGTGTATCCTACGTCTACGATCACCGTTGGGGAATTGACACGCCCATCGTCTTCATCACCATCATCATCATGTGGCCAGCATGCCTGCAGCAGCTCTTTCCTCCCCCTCCGACTCTCTGCACCGCTAGTGGGCGGGAAAGGTGGGTTTGGCTCCCAGCTCAGAGCAGCTGGTGGCCGAATGTCATCGCGCAAGAAAAAACAAAATGCAGAGCTTGCTTCAGGGAGCGCACGCAACCTTGACGGGAGAAGGCTGCGGACCATCACAGAGGCCAAAAACCTGGCTGCGTATTTGGCCACCAAGCCGGAAATGGATCGAAAGGAAAAGGAAGAAAGACGCAAGAGATGGGAACAGGTCATCCAACTAGCTGAGCAAAGGGAGGCCGATATGCGAGCAGGTAAGGGCCCTGATGGCCGGCGGAAAGGTCTTAGTGATGAGTGGATTGAAACGAAAGAGGAGGTTGGAGAAAATGTGCGAAATGCCGTGAAGATGGCTATGTTGGCGAGCGACGAGAAGGAAGAGTCTAAGGGAGTGTCCGCACAAGAAGGAGATAGCAGTGGCAGTGGAGGCTCCGGCGCCCCTAGTGACGAAGACAGCGAAGAGGAAGATCTGATGGAGCTAGACCCAGAGGATATGTCGCGGCTCAGATCAGAAGCTGAAGCCGGCGACGTCGATGCCCTCTGGGTCTTGCAGAATCGCCTCAAGATCCCCTCTCATTTGCTACCGAAGCCCAAACAACCAGCTCGCCGGTTTGTAGGCTTTGACGACGAAGATGAATTCTCGGGCAGTGACGAGGACGATGACGATGTTGAGACAGAGGCAACCATTGTCAAAAGGAAAGGCAAGCAGAAGGTATCCAGCACTTGATAGATGGCGTGAACAACCAGTTCCTCACTACTCCCGTGTTTTGCATGTTTTCTCACTAAGGTCGCCCACATTCATCCTCGCCTCTTTTTGCTCCATCTGGACGGCGAAGTATTATTTGCTTCCCCATACGACACTATCACGGATTTGTCCAACCACGTATGTACGGAGTTGCGCGGCCGAACTCAACATCTAGGTTAATGAGGTGGAGGTGAATATGCTCCTCGCCTACTCTTAACATTAGGGGTATGGGTAGATCGATTTCCATGACAGATTCCTCTCACATCTCCGAGTGCTGTCGAATCTGAAGAACGAGAGTTCTCGCTCATCGAGTGAGGCTTTTGAGGAGTCACAAGCTTCACCGTCGTGTCATCGTCGGTTGGCCAACCTCACTTATCTCCCTCCCCTCCTTGATTGGATTCGACCACCACCTCCAGCAGCAGCAGCATCATCATAAGAGCGTTGACTTGGAGAGAAAGGAAGGCCATCACTTCCACTCGATACCACTCGTTTTTGTTGCGTTTGTTCGTATTTCGATCTATCTTTCTTCGTTGTTACAAGGCAAATCCTCCTCGCTATTGATTGTCGAAATATGGCGCTGCCCATCTTCGCGTTGCTCACGTTGGGCTCGCTGGCTCTGCTAGCCCTGTACAGGTTCATCCTCAACCCTCTCCTCTTTCACCCTCTGCGGCATATCCCCTCTGCGCATTGGTCGATCCCAATCTTCGGCGATGCCTGGATCACCTACCAACGGTACATGGAGAGGAACAATGCCGTGACTTATGCGGCTCACTTGAAGCACGGGTCTGTCGTCCGTATGGGCGCCAACGAGCTGAGCGTCAATTGCGTGGATAACGGCATCAAGACCATCTATGCCGGCTCCTGGGAAAAGCACGCCTGGTATCCGCAGAGATTTGGCTCCTATGGGTAGGTGGAAGAAACCCCCAACATTGCCTTGTCACGGAATTTGAACCGTGGTTCTCGATACCCATCAAGAACGGACCAACAGGGGAAAGAAGAGAAAGGGGGAGGAGAACAGAAGAATGTAAGACTGACAATTGGACTGGGCCAGGGTCATGAACATGTTCTCTACAATCCACCACGGGCCACATTCGCAGAAGAAACGCACCATGGCCAACGTCTACTCCAAGTCCTTCATCGCCTCTTCACCGCAAGTGGCCGCGAACTCGCACACACTGTTCACAACCCGCTACCTGCCGCTCCTTCAGAGACTTTCCGAGACGGGTGAACCGGCCGACGTGCACGACATGAACAATGCCTTCGCCATGGATTTTATGTCGGCGTACCAGTTCGGCCTGGCCGCGGGGACCAACCTCACCCAGGACCTGGCGAAGCGGAGGCACATCCTCCACCAGTACCACTGTCGTCGGGACTACGAGTTCTTCTCGGCCGAAGCACCGTGGCTTAAGCGCCTCACGCGCGGGCTCGGTCTGCAAGTTGTGCCGTATTTCGTGGACGAGGCCAATGTCCTGCTGGAGGATTGGAACGCCGGCATGTGCCGCAAGGCGGACGAGTTCCTCTCGCGACGAGCATCAACCGGCGGGGATGGTTCTTCATTGGTATATTACCCCGGCGACGAACCGGTCGTGTACAAGCAGTTCAAGACGGGCATCACGAAACTGCGCGAAAAGGACCCCAACGCGGGAAAGGCGACGGGCGAGGTCATCCTGCCGACCACCCGGCACGATGAATTACACGTCGGGAACGGCAGCAACAATAACACTGATGACACCACGACCGCGGAGATCTACAGCGAAATGCTGGACCAACTGGGCGCGGGCCACGAGACGTCGGCCATCGCCCTGACGTACCTGTACTGGGAGCTGAGCAAAAACCCCGACCTGCAGAAGCAACTCCGCGACGAGGTCCTGACGCTGACACCACCGATCAAATGGCCTCTGTCTCCCGGCGCGAGGGACTTCAAGCTCCCGGACCCAAAGCAGATCGACGCCCTGCCGCTGCTCAACGCCATCCTGATGGAGACGCTGCGTCTGCACACGCCCATCCCGGGCATCGAGCCGCGCATCTCGCCGCACGTGCCGGGCGGGAGCACGCTGGGCGCCTACTCCCACATCCCTGGCGGGGTGCGCGTCTCGGCCATGCCCTACACGCTGCACCGCAACGAGGCCGTCTTCCCGGACCCGGAGACGTTCCTGCCCTCGCGCTGGCTGCCGTCGCACTCGTCCGACGACCAGCTCAAGGAGATGCACCGCTGGTTCTGGGCGTTTGGGTCCGGAGGGCGAATGTGCATCGGCAGCCACCTCGCCATCCAGGAGATCAAGCTGCTCGTCTCGGCCATCTACAGCAACTGGGCCACCGAAATCGTCGACGACAACGGCATCGAGGAGATCGACGCCTACACCACCAAACCCAGGAGCAACCAGTTGATCTTGCGGTTCGTGCACGTATAAACTTTGCCACAGGTTCACGCAAGGAAATGAACACGCAGGAGGTCTGGCAAGATATGAGAAATCAGGCGACGTGACGATGGATGCTGCTGGGGAATTTCCGCGGGGTTGAGTTGAGATGGCACCGGGGAAGACGTTCCAGCGTGGCTGTGCCATGGGCCCTAAATGATGATGCTTACAATACTAAAGGCTCGCAATTGAGACGAATATTAGACCTGTCAGTATCAATGCCACCCTAGTCATGAGATCTATTTCTGTGTCCCTGACGGTACTCGTGATTTCCACCAATGTAAAAGGATACACGATGTTCCCGCGTCCGAAGCGAAAAAGAGGTATATACGCATGCCTTTTCCGAACACAGGTCAAGTTACAATGTCTGAAACGTAGACCCCCTTTGTCTCGTATACCGCAGGCCGTCAATCCCCCATAGTACCTGGCTCATTCAGAAATCAGCAGTGGATGCCCTTTGGGCTGGTTGTTCTCTCGGGCTAAATGAACAAAACAATATCCCAGCCTTGCACAAGATATGGATAGCGTTTGTTCGTTTGCTCGGGACGGTGCGCACTAGCGAGAGCCAACAAAGCCTGCATTCTCGAGGAAGCTCAAAGCATGCGAAGCAATTGATCCAAGTGCGAGGTCGGTGTGTTGGAGGGTTGGAGCCATGAGAATGGCAAAAGGGTCCTGCGTACTTGTTGTAACCATTTGCTTACATCTCAGGCCGAAGGGTCCATGGCTACTCCTGTGATGATAAAATATCATATAAGCGCGGAAATGTTCAATGATAGAACAGTACCAAAGAAGTCCCTTAAAGCTCGACTAGAACTCGTTCCATGAAGGGTCATCCAGCTATGTCACTCTGAAATGAGAGGGCAGCACCATTGATATTTGGTACGTCCAGTTCACAGAGGCCTTCGCTTCTGAGCCGAGCTTGACCGGGTGGTGCGTGGGGTGGCCGGTTTTGGGTTCGCTGGCTTCTGTGTTTTGAGCTGTTTCCTCTTCTGAAAGCGCCGTATCTGGCGTTGGGAGTCCTTGCCTCCACGTGCGATGGATTCATCGTCAATGACATCCAACTCAGTCAAGACATTCTTGCGAAGGCCCCATTTCCCCAGTTGTCGCTTGTACTGTTGCGCAGTGGCGGCGAAGTCATGTTTCTGTTGCATTTCAGCCATGACTTGGTCAAGAGGCAGCCTCGCATAGAGTGCATAGATGGTGAATTTGTGTTTCTCCCAGATCTGGGTCGGGATGGGTCGGCTGTGGTTTGAGCGAACCATGACAACGGCACGGACAGGACTTTGCGATACCTCTTTCCGCGGTAGGCTCACCAAGCGAGAGGTTTCCTTTTTCAAAGCTGATGTCCCAAGTTCGAAGACCAAGCATCGGGTCTGTTCGTCAGTCTTATAAGATTTGCGAGGCCAGATGACAAGCGTGATGGGAAGTCTAAGGCGCTTGGACGACGTGGCAACCCTTTTCTGGAGCTCTGACATATGAGGACTAGACCTCGTTGGGCATCGGCTTGGGTTACTGCGGCCTGACAATGCGAGCAATCAGGACTGCAGAATTCGTGTCAGGTACTCGAAGAGCTCTGGTTTCCAACAGGGGGACTTTTGTGGACGAGGAACAAGGTAGCTAGATCGCTGCACGGTGTTACTGGCCATATTCACTGTCAGCTGACTGAACGTGCAAAGGCGGGAAATACTTGAAATGGTTGCCCGCATGCTTAGGCGCCTGGTTTCCTAAGGGAAATGACAGTGTTGGTCAGTGGGCAGCGAGTCGGTGTCGACTCGAACTCAGGTCGATAAGGCCTCAGACTGGTCCCACGTAGTGACAACTCTCGAGGCTGCAGTCGCCAGTCACCGGACCTCGATAGCCTGCATACGATCGGATTCTCTGTCCTATCACAATGCAGTCAAGGTTCTGTGTAACATTTGGCTCGGGGTCAGTTGCCAGAAAGAAGACTGATGACGGAACAGTAAGAGGGGTGTTGTTGCCCTTCAACTGTGTGAGTGTCTGGTGCATGTTTAAGAGGCTTTGAAGGAATGAGGAGGTGATATAGTTGGTGGATGTTGGTTGTACTCGTATCGCACCTAAGGTGGGGGGCTTCCAAGGCGATCTTCCTCGAAATATTAGTGGGTACGGTTGGTGCTTGCGCCGTTCATTGATCAAAGGCCCGAGCGCCTATTAGGCTAGGTACAAGTTAGGTAGCTATCCAGGCACGGCTAGGCTTCCCCGCTTCCTTGGACTACCTAGAGCTCCGAAAAACATAACTCCTATGTAGGTAGGCGGTAGGCAAGTCGGTCACGGTAATTATGGAGAAGTACTCGGTACGGCCATCATATGCTCTCACTTCGCCTCCGTGGTGTCCCATGCAAAGCCTTCCTCGAATTGGTAAACGGTCCATAATACGAGTACTGGGAAAACCAACACCGTATCCCTTCAGACCTATTGGAAGAGGGGTAGATTTCCAAACTCAGTTCTCAGGTCCAACGCAACATCAACCAGTGGTGCCAGTCGTCTGCCAACGGAGGGGAGGGGATTGAAAAGCACGAGGCGCAGTCCGAGCTTTGTCGACGTGGAACGCATCCTGCCACTAGGTATTTCTGTAACTACCTAATCACATACCTTAGGTGCCTAGTTATGTATGTAGGTATGCAGAAGGAAGAACAGCCCGTCAACCAACCACGAAGGTGCCATGGCATGACCGCAAGAATGATTCTCCGCTCCGAAAGTGAAACCAACAAGGCTGGGGTCTCGTAAGGCTGAATCAGGCGACTTGTATGGGCTGCCCCAGAGATGTGTGATAGGTGTTGCTGGGTCCGAGGAATGGGACAAGGCTCATTCCCAAGTCACAAAACATCACCAGCCACGGCACACCATGGGTAGTTGTTATTGTTGTGTTTGTACACGTAAAACCACGCACAACAGGCGTTGCCGAGACCCACAGCAAACAAAAAGTCCAGAAACAAAATCTCGGGGTCATGTTATTGGCTAACAGCATGAGCCAGGGTCCAGGACTCCGTAGAAGTGCCAAGTAGATCTTTCGGAATGGGCTTATCGTACGCACGGAGCACGGATCCTTAGTACGAGTAGTTAGCTCGTTATGTACCTATGTTAGATGCATCCTGATTATTAGACTGAGCCTCGGGGATTTTCCCCCGACAGGTTGGGATGCGAATCTGCCCAGATAGCAATCTCACCACAATACAAGCACATTGTAAGCTGTGAGGAGCAGCATAAGTGACGTGGTTAATTGTGCAGCAAATGTAATCCTGATCCGGCTGACGGAACATGGTTTTCACTCCAAAGACAAGGTTGATCTCAGAGTGGGTGAAGTCCTCAGCCTCATCCGGACTTCGATTGGTCCACAATCCTTGGATGGCGGAATCTGCGACCTTCGATCTGGTTCTCTCCTCTTGGCTTTTTCTGAGACCTTCCCCGACCCGATCCCCCTGCGCGCTTCAGCAACTGAACAATATAATTGTTTGCCTGCGATTGACCTCATAAATCAGAGGACTTTCGCACTTAGCACCCTTCTCACTACATGTGTACCTCTTGATAATACTATCTGGATACTCAACGTCCCATCACCACCTCTGTCATCCACTGGACCGGCAAACCTCCTTGTCCGGAATTCCTTCTCGCTCACTCACAAAACAAATCTTTTTCAACCCCCCCAAACACCCCTCGCCCTTCTTGACTTGAGTATCAACCAAATTTAGTCAGCTGCTTCCTCCGAAACCGCTCTCGAGCAAGATGGTCAAAGAGACGAAATATTATGACATTCTCGGGGTACGGCGACTCGTTTTCCTTTTGTAAGGCTTGGAATTGTCGCCCTCTAACCACTTCTACAGGTCGATCCTTCGGCCACAGAGGCCCAGCTGAAATCTGCCTACAAGAAGGGCGCTCTAAAACATCACCCAGGTAAGACCATCATTCGAATGGTCTGAGAGAGGCAATAAGTTTCTAACTCCTGATTAGACAAGAATGCCCACAATCCAGATGCGGCCGAAAAGTTCAAGGACCTCTCCAAAGCATACGAAGTCCTGTCCGACCCTCAAAAACGAAGTCTTTACGATCAATATGGTGAAGAGGGCTTAGAACAAGGTGGAATGGGAGGTGGCGGCATGGCCGCCGAGGACCTGTTTGCGCAGTTCTTTGGCGGTGGGTCAGCATTCGGGGGCATGTTCGGAGGAGGCATGCGCGATCCAGGCCCAAAGAAAGCCCGAACAATCCACCACGTCCACAAAGTGTCTCTTGAAGACATATACCGCGGGAAAGTCTCGAAACTTGCTCTTCAAAAATCAGTTATCTGCCCACAGTGCGAAGGCCGTGGAGGCAAAGAGGGGGCGGTCAAAACCTGTACTGGTTGTAACGGCCAGGGTATGAAGACAATGATGCGTCAAATGGGCCCTATGATTCAGCGTTTCCAGACCATCTGTCCCGATTGCCAGGGCGAAGGAGAAACCATCCGCGACCGCGACCGATGCAAACGCTGCATGGGAAAGAAAACGGTCGTGGAACGCAAGGTTCTTCACGTGCATGTCGACCGTGGTGTCAAGAGCGGCCACAAGATCGAGTTCCGTGGTGAGGGCGATCAGATGCCCGGTATTCTCGCTGGAGACGTTGTCTTTGAGATCGAACAGAAGCCTCATCCAAGATTCCAGAGAAAGGATGACGACCTATTCTATCACGCCGAAATTGACCTGTTGACTGCTTTGGCTGGTGGCCAGATCTATATTGAACATCTCGATGATCGGTGGTTAACGGTCAATATCTACCCCGGCGAGCCCATCACACCTGGTGAGTACAAACATAGAGCTGCGCCAGATCATCGCATCAACGTTCACACACTGACTTTGCCGATAGGAGCGATTAAGGTGATCAAGGGCCAAGGAATGCCGTCATTCAGACACCACGACTTTGGGAACCTGTATATTCAATTCGACGTCAAATTCCCGGAAAAGTCACAACTCCAGAACATCGAGCTCCTCGAACAAGTCCTGCCTCCTCGCATGCAACAGAAACTGCCTCCCCCAGACGGCATGGTGGAAGATTTCGATCTAGAAGAAGTCGACCCCCGTCAGCAAGCGCGTGCTCATGGTGCTGCTGGTATGGACGATGAGGATGAGGATGGACTCCCTCCTGGAGCCGAGAGAGTGCAATGCGCGTCTCAATGAAGTGGCAAAGAATTGCCCACCATTTTACGGGTAGATGTGACAATGCGGCAAGGAATAGAGAGAAACAATCGCGACGTAATGACTTGACGCACGAAGAAGAGCACGACTCCTCCGGGCATCTGCAAACATGGAGGCTTTTCCTGCATTTGACCGTGTGGTCACTGGTGCATGGGCATGTGGCATATCGTACGGCGTCAAGGATGGGGAAGTTATCGGTTACGATGAAATTCCCGGCGTTCATCAATTGGGAAATCAGGATACGGCGTTATAGCTCTTCATGACACCCACCTAGGGAAGTCTTTGTTGGGCTGAGCGCATGGACTGGCCTGATAGAGGGTCTGACGAATGTTCTATGCTCTATCCGGCCCCCGCATATTTAGACAGCCTCGCGATTGTGCATGATAGAGATGGGGTTTAGTGCTGTGGCATGCGACACCTCATTCATGGGTTATGACCAGTGGCCAATTACAATGTGTTATGGCGATGTATTTCAGCGAACCGCAGTAGAGAAAGCGTGACAGACCGTATCTGCCAGTGGTAAGGGAGGTCTTTGACGCTGGACTAGTATGTATCAAGCGAAATAGGGTACGTTGTTCCTATTGAATTGGCTTTTAGAATTCTCCGTCCTCCGTAGGGCGAAAGTTAGCACTGAGAAGCAAGTCTCCACGAAGGCACACGAGCCCTCAGCCCTCGTAGCAAGCAGATCCCGTGATGCCCAAAGCACGAATCTCCCGCTTACTCGGCTGGCTGAACCGAGGAAGAACGGCTTGACCCTGTCATAGCGCGACGCGAAGCCACGGCCTGCCATTGGATATGCAGCTGGGAATGGCTTAAGGCCGGCCACAATCTCGTCGACACGAAGGGCAATCAGGCGTCGGAGGTCGCGTCTCCCAGCCGCCGACTCGGTTAGACGAGGAAAGCACTGGGACAATTCTGGGACGAGAGGAAGCGATCAAGAAGTCCCAGTGTCCCTTAGAACGGAGGTTGCTACGCAGTCTGTGCACTGCCCAGGGATGAAACAAAAGGAGAAAGTGAGGCTGGCTTTGCCGCTTGAGCTTCTGTCATATTTAATTTGCGGTAGCTTGAGGTTGAGGATGAGACTGACACAGAGGCTGAGGCTGAGGCTAGCATTGGGATTCAGGCTTGAGGCTTGAGGACGAGGTCGAGCTTTGACATGGTATAGTCGTCGATGCTTGACGTGATATGCCGAATTGGGAAATCAAAGGCTTGGCACCTGCATTGGGCGCAAAAAGCGGTCAACCGATCATCAAGCACATGCATTTGTCCCCTTTGCCAGACATCCCACTTTC